AACATGTATATCACAATCATGTTGGTAATGACTTTTCATTTGACCAATTTAAAAATCTCTGCCACCAATGTTGGGATAAAACTAAATATGGCTTTTTCGTAATAGACAAAGAAAGGTCAAAGAATAATGGCAAATATAGATTTATGTTTGACCAATTCTATCAAGAGGATGGTATGGGTAAATAAATAAAAGACTGGAGTTTTTTAACATTTGTATTTATTTTATATCTACACATTTTGAACATCAATTTTATAATGACCAAACGCAAGAGTATTGATACCATCTTCCAGAATAAACCTCTTGTCATCGTCAAATGATAGTACTTTCTTGTTCATGGTTAAGGTGTGAAGATGATGATTTGTAGATTTAATTCTTGTCACATTCTCATAGTAATCTTGCCCAGTTGCAAGACAGTTCAAATAATGATGATGTCTTAGGAGATGTTTAACTGTGGCACCATCAGCTCCTTTAGCTTTCTTCACCTCTAAAGCTTGCTTGTCTTCTTCATATAACCATTTTAGAGGAATGTAAGAATATAACTTTGGTCTTAAACCACAATATTCATACATAATATGACCATCTAATTCGTCTTTAAACTTGCCTGTGACTTTTTTATTTTTATCAGAGTATAAGAAATGGTCTTTACTATATCCAGAGGTATCAAAATAGTGCAAGTCACATTCTATTTCCTTGTAAAAGTCCTCTGTAACTATAGAATACATTAAAGAATCAGTGTCTGTCATTAGAAATCTTTTGTTCTTAAATTTTGACATATAATTATAGTGGAAATCATACATTATTACTTTACTGATATCCAAAATGGTCATGCCTAAATATATTGGTTTATTAAACTTTACAACTAATTTATTTAAATGTATAGCATGTAAATTGTTATCAAACTTTTTGCTACAGTCAAACCTTGGATTAGTGACATATTTTGTTAATAGTGACTCATCCTTGAGATATATATCACGAAACTTGCGTTGATTCATAATTGTTCGACCAAAGAGACTATTATTTAGCAATTTGTAAAAGTCTTTTTCAAAATCATTTTTAGCCCATTTTCGTTTTTCAATATTAAAATTAATATAGGGTGCAAGCCATTTAGACTGTCTAAATTTTAAAATTCTATGGTATTTTGTAACAACCAAACCCAATTCCTCATATTTTTGTAATGCTTTATAATGTAAAATATATTTAGTTTTGTCATTTAAATTAGGTATTAATTTGCCATTCATTTTCTCTGGTGCTAATGGATAGTCATTATGTAAATCATGTAAGCTTTTATCATATTTTAAATCAACTTCTAAAATGTATCCAAACTCATCATTTTGATTATATTTGTAGTATATCTCATTAGTCCAACTGAATCCATCCACAGGCAGTGGCTCGCACATTGCTGTAGAGTATAGTGAGTTACAATCTAAATATATTAAATAGACACTCTCTTGATTGGGATCATAGTGTTCACCCATATATCTATTATTTGCTTTAGCGTAACGTGTAGAAATCATACTGACTCCTCCTCTGATCGCACTTTCTATGAACAAATGCATGTCAACATCTTCGAATAATTGTAATTTTATTCCTGTCATTCTAAGACAGGCCTCCCATGTAAGTCCAGGAAGTGAATACAAATGTACAGGGTCAAGTTTGTAATCTTTTAAACACAGGTCTCTAAATGTCTCAAACACATCAGCCAGTAGCAATACATCTGTTTTAAGATATAAATCATGATATTCTTGTAAATTATGTATATTAAAATGGGTCCATACATTTTTAGCATGTTCATATTCATTGGGAGAGATATGTTCTTTAGTTATAGAACTGTGAAATGTTTCAATTGTTGGTAGAGACTCTGCGAACTTATCTGGTCCCGTCATATATTCATAGGGATATACACCTTTACGTTGTAGTAGTGGATTTTGTATGAATCTAAATGTGTTCAAATTGGAAGCCAATTTATATAATGGAAGGGACAGAAAGTTGTATGAATCTAAAAATACTAAATCATCAACAGAGAATGATATATATTTTTCCATATCTTTAGCTATACAATTTAATTTATGTTTATTAAACTTTCCCAAGTGTTGCATTATTAAATGTCCATCGTAATTTTTCAAATTATGGAAGAATACTGGTATTTTCTTTGTTACTTTATAGTTTAAATTACAATCATTATGGGCAGCTCCACGGTATTGGCCAGAGGAATGGCAATGATCTCTCACCCTATCAAAATATAGGGGCTTTTCACAAATATGACAATGTGTTGAGTTTTGGAAAGACACCTCTTGCTCTGGAGTCATTACTAGGGGAATATATATTGCCATTTGACTTTTAATATAATCATAAGTCTGAAATAATCTTTCAAAAAACACATCCATAACATTTGCACCACTGTACAACTCTTCAGAAATAATTTTTGAATCTTTTACTACAACAAATGCAAATCCAGATGGAGTATGTATATTAGAATTTACGAAACATTCAAAATCTGCATAAATTACATATGGGGCTTTTAGTTGATATTTATGATTTTTAAATTGTAATGTATCTTGTTTCGACATTTCCACTCGTTGGGCATCAAAGTTCTTACAATATGTTATATGACGTTCTAATTTATCGCTGGTATAAAAATGTTGCAAACACAACTTGCAAAAATGCTTCTTATTGTTATTTTTTGTAGAGTGGAGCATTAACCTATCGAAATCACGAATTAAACAATAATGTGATTTACGACCTTCTTGTAATAATAATAAATCTATATGAGTATTACTACTATTTAGTTTGGTTGTTCTTAATGGATATACACATTTCTGGTCTTCAACTCCAAAAACATTAACACTTATATTATTCTGTCTTTCGAATTTATCTATATCAGATATTTTTACGGGATATTTTATATTTGTCATATTTAACTGTGTTTCATAGGGTGTATAGTTAGAGACCCTATTAGCACTTTCATTGATACAATTCCTTGGATATAAAGCTGCTAAAATTGACCAAATGAAACATTTATTGTCAAAATTTCTTATATTTAGAACTGCTTTAGTCAATTTAATACTTTTTGGTGTGGGGATATATGACTTTGGAGTTAGGGGCTTATACTTATAAATATGCAGCTGCCAATATTTAGTATGCTCATATATCCATCCACTGCCTTGAGCTTGATATTTGTGAATGGATGCATCAATCTTTAAAAGTGCATTTTCAATTTGAGGCTTTAAATCTCCCTTCTCAATAGTTAAGGTAGTAAGGCTTCTAAAATCTGCAATACATTCTTTTTCATTAACTAATTTTCCATTTTGATCCATTGAATATTTTATAAATTTAATTCTCCTAACTAACGTCCATTTGATTGGCAGAGAACAAGACTTAAGAGTGTTTTCAAGGTCAGCTCTAATTGATTCACCAACAAATTTTATCATTGTGTATGGACAATTATTGCAAGAATTGATATGTCTTCTAAAATGTCCAACAACATTTTTCTTACAAAAATTACAAGTCTTGTGACTTTGTAATGTGTGTGACTTTAGAGCCATGTAGCTATCACAGATTAAATCACAAACCTTGCACAGTTTCACATTCATTTGATGCATTACCTTATAATGACGAATCAGGTTGCTTTTGGTGGAGAGCGACACGGAGCAGTGTTGACATGACGGCTTCATGTTTAGGAATGAGGTCTCGGGCTGATGCCACCTCTATATATAGACTTTTCGAAATTTTCAAAATTTTTGAAATTTTTAAAAATTATTACAAAAAAATTATAATTTAGAAAATTGTAATTTATAAAATTTAACTTTAGAAATTTTAATTTATAAAATTTAACTTTAAAAATTTTAATTTATAAAATTTAACCTTAGAAATTTTAATTTATAAAATGTAACTTTAAACATTTTTTTTAATTAAAAAATTACTTCAACAAAAGGTTTCCCAGCCAGGACTTAATCAAGAGCTACCACTAGAGACAAGGAGCAAGAAGCAGGAGCTTGCCTGTGGCCACGGCAGTGCCTATAGACCGGGAGCGCGCCGTGAGCCGTGAGCACGCCCGAGTTCACGTACAAACCTCGCTCGATTTTGAGAATATACATGTGAATGGGTGTTGGACATGGATTTGAAATTATACAATATAGATATGGAGTTGTACATTTATATAGGCTTGTATAGGCCCCAAGAGCAAGTTTAAGAGGTATATCACAAAATACAAAGAAATGAAAATATTAAACAACTCATACAACTAATATATATAGATAAGACAGAAATATAGACAACAATATATCAACATATCAACTAGAAAGGGGAATGGTAGATGTACTAGCAATTAGGCATGGGCGGAGAGTTGGCCCAAAAACCTCGCGCCCCAAAAAACGGCAGCGACAAACTATACTACTATACACCGCTGGAGATGAGAAGCATGGGCCGGGAGCGCGCTTGAGTTCTGCTGCAAATCTCACATGATTTGAAAATATATGTTGATTTGTAATGTTAATGAAGTTGTACAGTAGTATAGGGGATGTATAGGCAAAGATCAGGATTTTTGGTTTTGGTGGCCAAAAAATGATCCCCATGTTATTCTTATGGGGAAAAACGCCCCAAGTGCCTTAATATTCTTCTATTGCCACTACTTAATTTATGATTTATACGATTAGTAGTCTACAGTGAAACATATGTTCTTCAAAATTACTGTAGAATAGAAATTGAGTGTTTACCACTTTGAATGTTTTGTTTTGGTTTGTTGTCTGATTTCTACTAAGTATATTGTTGTTAATGTTGGTGGATTTGTGTGTATTTCAAGTTTTCTCTTCAGAAATACAATTTGTTACAATTATTAAACAGAAAACCGAGGTTAAAATTAAGTCAAACCCTATCAGATTAATAATGGATCTTAAAATTATTGAGTTATTAGAAGGCATAACATATTATTTAGACAAAACTGAATACTTTAGTACACTTGAGAAACAATTTGAAGAATTTCATGTGACAGATGTGTCATCTTTCCCTTATATAAAATGTGATATACAAATAGATTTCCTTAAACTAGGAGTGATATCAGGTAACTTGATTAAGGAACCAATTTGGTTGGTTTTTGATTGCTTATTTTTGAATTTAGGTAAGTTAAGCTTAGCCTAACAAACATTTTGCAAAATAACCTACCATTTATATCAGTTCAAAATCATCAAAATATTGCGCAGGTACAATTTAGGCCTATGTTAACATTTTAAAACAGAATTCCAGCTTTTAGACATTCCAAGAATATATATTTCAAATACAATATATATTATACAACATGGATTATAGGTACAATATATTATTTTGAGCTGTATTTCATAAAATCATCAAATTAATACAGTTATAACTTAGGCCTAGGGTGTTTAACTTAGGCTATGTGGGGGGTGGACATTTTTCCTTATCGCTTTGGATTGGCTCCCTTGAAAACTTTCTTATGGGTACCTATAATATAATTTTCTCCAAAACATTTTATTAAAATGGTTGCTTGTTGATCCCTTTTACAAACTTATAGATTACTAGCTGTAACCCGCGGGCTTTGCCCCGTTTAACTTCTTAATTTTCAAGATGATATCGTTCGCATGGCTCAATAACGTCCTGGTTGAAGTTCGTTCGCTACGCTCACTCACCTTTAGGTTGGAGCTCGTTCGCTGCGCTCACTTGCCTTCAGGTTACCTCGTTCGCTACGCTCACTTGCCTTCAGGTTAGCTCGTTCACTACGCTAACTCGCCTCCAGGTTGAAGTTCGTTCGCTACGCTCACTCACCTTTTGGTTGCAAATTAGCCGTTGTCATAAATGTAAAAGAAATAATAGTGCTGCACCCTGTTGGTAATCCTTGTCACTTTAATGCTATTGAACATCATAGAACAGAACCAACTTATTTAATTGAAACAGCTGTTAAGATTCATTAATTCCATTTCTCATAAGGTTAACATGGGAAACTCCAGAGCCACTGGGGCGGAGCCGATTTGGACTAACCCCCAAATAATAGAAACAAAATTACGTCAAAACTAACGTCCAGCGTCACGAACATGAACAAAATGTTGAATTAACAATGTCATAAGAAGTCGACTTGAGTTATATTTAATCTATGGTCGTACTTGCATCTAGGTTATATTTCTTCTAGGATGGTAACAATGTCTAGCACGCGTGCGCCCCTAATCACTCTGATCCCTAGCCAACATAGTGGCAGTGCAGTGGCAATACGATGCATACCCCTTGGGCGCTCGTCAACGTCAACATCCCTACAGCCTACTCCCATATAACCAATGTTCGTTAATTTAAACTATTTTAAATTTCCTAACAATTATTTCTTCTTACGAACTTCAGAATCACAATGCTTTGGAGTTTTTTTTTATCAACTACCGGTATGACTATTTTTAGATAGCCTAGGTATAAAAAAAATTTTCTCTTGGCCGTGCGCCCTCTGGAACCTTGCGCCCATAGGCCTGGGCCTACCGGGCCTATTGGGAAATCCGGCCCTGTGTATACTTCTTGTTTGTTGTTCATGTTCATTGGTTGTTAGGTATTGATTTTTCTTTGAAATTTACATTTAATATGCTTTGTACCTGATATAAATGAGCTCATTTTTGTAAATACTTATAGTTAAGCCCGTTGTTTTCTTATTTTGTTTCGGGTCACCGGAATTTTACCCCCCTGGAATTTTACCCCCTGGAATTTTACCCCCTGGGCAAAGCTGATGTTACTATGACGTAGTAACCTGAGTGCTCTAAAGTTTGTTCGCGGATTTTACCACCGCGGATTTGGAAATCTAATGAAAATAGACAGAGCGTGATGAATTAGATTAGCAATAAAAACTTGAATTTACCCCCTCTCCATATAACTAGCTTTTAGGCAACTGTAGATGTACAGCCCTGATTTTTACTCCCGGAATTTACCCCGGATTTTTACCCCCCGGAATTTTACCCTCTGGCCAAATATAGAAATTATTGAGAATGACTAATTTTCTTCTTTCAGTTTTAATTTAGTAGTAAACATTTTATTATTAAGTAGCCTATCTTAATTTATTTGTAATCTCAACTAAGTAAACAGGTTACGCTGTTTAATTTTGATATTCGAGATTTGGGTTTGGGGCCAACCGTTGGTTAATACGTATGTATATTAAACTGAGTATCTCATTTAAACGATAATTGGGTGACCATTTCTTAAACAATTTACCATACCACCGTGGAAAAACTATTTATTTTGTTTCTGTTGTACAATAACATATGCCCTTTTCTTTCTTCAGACACAAACTATGAGCTATTTATAGTTTGTACTGAGAAAGGTCATCGAAATACCTGTTGTAAAATGTAGTGTAGGCATCCGGTACAACGTATTTGACCAATTGTGTTGACTACTGCAATGAAACCCGAATGTTTGTATATACATAACCAACAGTTGGTCCCAAAAATTGAATCCGGAAACTTGACTATCAAAATTAAAATTCATTAACCTGTTTGGTTGGTTAAGGATACAAATAAATTAAGATAGGCTACTTAATAATGAAATGTTTACTATTAAATTAAAACTGAAAGAAGAAAATTAATCATTCTCACTTATTTCTATTTCTAGCCAGGGGGCAAAAATCATCATTGTCCTTATTGTAAATTGGTTTATAACCGTTGGAAGGTAAAGTAATATAATGTTTAGTCCTACTGGACAGGGGTATCTATTTTATTGTAATTTCATCATCATATATCCTAGCTTAATAGATGGAGCTGCATGTGGAATTGATCGGTAAAGTAGGACATTTTCTAACTGCAATTGAAACTTCAGATCTGCTTTGATTGTGGAATTTGTCAACACTTTAAATATTGTGAAGACAGCTTATACATGTTTATTTATATTTCATAAATATTTTATAATGCATTGGACAACTGTTTCAGGAAAAGTTGCCGCAATATTGTTGAAAGAACCATATCTGGCACAGCAACTATTCAATAAAGTTGTAAATTTAGCAGTCAAATCAATGAAAATTCAAGATAACGTGAATGTTGGCCTAGCTCAGATAAATATAGAAGTCACAGTTCCCCTGATAAAAGATATCATGCTGTTTTCAAAAAGATGCTCTCCTACATCATCTGGGTTATTTGTTTTCCGAGGAGTCCTAGTGTCCTGCACAAAACCAACAAAGTACTGGTGCGTCAATAAAATAGTTCGGGGTTGAATATTTTACAACTCATTTCAATCTTATGTCCAATAATACCAAAGTCATCATAAAGATTAAATTGACCTCATAATTTATTTGTAATTTAAATTATAGAAGTTTTATATTATGGTTTTTAAATAAATGTAATCTAGAAATTATTTAATTACTCCTCTACCATCTACAAATAAAATCAATACTGATTCTATTACCTTATTTAAAGTTAATCTTTAAGATTGGTAGTAAAATTGCAATTTTGTAGAATAAAGCCATATTTTTTGCAGTCGAAGTGCAGTGTACCAATGTCCACTAAAGAGCTGTTCAGGTCATACTGGAGAAAGAGTATTCGGAGAAAAGTCTGCCGGCAGCATCTGCTGCTATTGCGGCTGTAGCAAAGAGGAATACTTACGAGCCAGAGAGAACGGAGATCAAGTCTTAGCTGTATTTGTAAATTTAGATGCCTTCCAGGTGAACTTTCACCGAAATGAAGGAATCACAGTTTCACTAAAAGGTAACTAAGGTTCGGTCAAGTTTTGTCTGTAAAAGTACTTGCTAATTTTAAATTTTTACTTTCAAATTTCTGCTGGACACTAACCGTTTTACCTCTGTAAAATAAATCAGAAATGCACCGGCCATAATCTCGATTTATGCACTTATAGCTGTTCGAATCTGCTTAAACTAGATTTTCTTGTCACTATTTGAACATTTGTGACCAACTTGAACTGACTGATGAAAGGACTGGTGGAACCTGGATTTTAAATTAATTCAGTACCTATTTAAATAATTTGTATATTTGTACTTTTCACTTCAGTCTTTGGTTTATTTATACTTGGACTTAGAATTTTTCATTTATAATTATTTACTTATCATTTCAGAACTATTAAGTGTACAAAGTGTTAGCACTTTGTGTTCAATATTATATACCCCTGCTGCAGCAAACCTGCAGACTAAGCAAATTTCCATTTGCCTGATTAGATTTACACTTAAATGTCTCCTTAAAAATATCACATTTATTCCCTATTTAAATAGAATTAGTTTAATAAGTACTTAGGTTTGCTGCAACAGGGAGGGTAAAAGTATATTTTTTTGTAAAATGTTAATAGTTTAGTAAGAAATAAAATTTGATCAAAATATGTTCATAAACAAGCAAACTACAACGGTTTACTTATTCTCCATAAGAATAACATGAGAATATTAAATTTACCATTTTTTGGAATTTTCTGCATAACTATTAGGTGCATAATATCGCTTTAATATACTAAATTATTTGTTTTTTAAGCTCTATAAAATTGTTTGGAAAGAAATTGCAAAACTTAGTGCAAATGTTTTTTTTCGTGTGCGAAACTAAGTGTGAGGTATCGTTGGCTCAGTGGCGGATCCAGAGGGGGGGCGACGGCCCCCCCCCCCTCGGGCATACATATATATATATTTTACTGCATCTAGGTAATACAGTATACACATTGAGTAAAATAATTTGTCACACTAACTTTAGATAAAGAAATTATATAAAACTGCCATTTTCGAGACTTAGTTTACACAAATGTTTTGGGCACCCTCCCTTGTGACTGTTTCTAGATCTACCACTGTGTTGGCTAGGGGTCCACTTGTCCTCCTATGAATATTACACACATTCCTAGTTAGTGATCAGTCTTGTTTAGTGAATGGCAAGCTACATTAGTATTGCAATTGAATACAATGTAAACAATTTTTTTTATTTAGGAGTTTTAATTATGAAAAACTGTGTATCTTTCAAACAACACTCAACTTAATTCCAATTATAAAAAAATATTAAAATGTTAAGATTACAAAGTAATATATATATTCCTTTGTTATTGTTTTATTGATTGGTTTGTGGTGTTTACAATATTTAAAATACAGTTTTTGAGATTTTTGTAAAACAAATTTTTCTTGTGGGTTAGGTTAAGTTTTTTGTCATACTTCAGAAAAACCGACTGTTTTCAATACTGCAACACTGTACTATATATATATAGCGTTGGGGGCTAGAGCAGTTCATTTTCTCCATTGTGTAATTAAGAGAATCTAGGTAAAGCCGACATCAGCAGTTCATTATTATAGCTATAAAAAGTTGTCTGCTAGTTTCAACAAAGTAATACACTATCGTATTATTACTAACATATTTTGTTTGTGTTTATCATCGCGTTATATTTCAATAGAAACATAGCCCTTTAAATATCGACATTTAATTTGCAATGTAAGAGGATTCAAGTAACAAAATATGTAGGCCTATTTATTATTGTGTTGGAGGAGTGATACATATTGCATCTTTAATGTCCGTAACAGCTGTTCACAAGTGATCAGTGAACAACTTCTCGATTAGCATCGTACGTGTTATTGAATTAACTGAAAAAAATTAAAAGATATACGTCTAATAACAACACTTTTAACAATATATTTACACTTATACTGTTGACTCACAAGACGGTAAATACAGTGGTGGTGATAAGAACCCACAAATTTGTTCACCAGGCCCCTCTCCCCCAATAATCTTTAAAAATATTATCCTGGGTTTCCACATAAGCTTGCACTTGGGATCAGCAAAGCATCTCCCGACGCACCGAGGCGTCATCATCGTCTTCCATGATCGTGGAAAAATCCTGAATATCTTCATAGGATCTGAATATTAGCATCGTCCTCAGTGACTGTAATAAAAATCATGAATACTTCCTGCAGTCAGAAACATTATCTACCGTGATTGCAACCAAACTCAGGACATCTTCTGTGTGGTCATGTAGACGACATCATCATCTCCTGCGATCACGGCCAAATCCCTAATATCTCCCGCGGTGACGGAAACATAATCTTTTTCTGCAATCAGGCAAAATTCAAAATACCTCCGGGGAAAAAAAAAGTCGGCTTCTACAGTAGCGTCAAAATCTTAAACATCTCGCACGGTCACTGAAACATTGGTATTGTCTTCCACTATCGCTGCAAAATATTGAACATCTCCTGTGGCCGCAGAGACATCGTCATCATAGTCACCCGAGGGGGAATGTTCTCATCGATATCCGCGATCGTGGTGAAAGTGTGAACCATTCATTCGCGTGGGTGTGATCCTCGCAGACGCGTTCTACGGTTGCAATGTTATCGCAATCGTAAAAGCTCTGCTTGAGCTCGATTTTGTAACTCTCTCAAGCGACAGCAGTGCTAGATCTCTCAAGGTTTTAACAAATTTATATCATAAATACTAACAGTAAAACTCATATAAATTTTGTTTTGATAGGGGGCCCATATGGCAGGGCCTGTCACTGGTCACAGGTCTGGGTCCAGGTAAGATTTCCTGAAAAATGCCGGTCCAGGCTCACAGGCCCCTCCCCCCCAGCTTATGAGCCTCCCCACCCCATGCCTGCTATCACCGCCACTGGGTAAATACAGATAAAAGATTGTAAGAGGTAATCGTTTTCTATTGGACACCCCAGGGTCTGATGATGACTAGAGTGTCCAATTGAAATCAATTGCCACTTACCATCTTTTATATCTATTTACCTTCTTGTGAGTCAACAGTATAGTGTAAATATATTATTACAAGTCTTATTAATATATATATAATTTGTATAGCTTTTTATTTTTTCAGGCAAATGTTCAGTATTAAAAGGAGTCTGTTTAGGCCCTTGTGACGAAATATAGGCCTACCTACTATTATTTCACAATAAATTACATTTAGGTCTACATATTAAAATTGATATATTTTAGCAATCAGACCATATCTCAATCTTCAGACCGTATCTCAGTGTCTTTAGAGGCAGTCTGAATATGGCACCTTAGAGTGCCAAAATATATTAAATACTAATTATACCTACTATTATGTAATTTATAATTTATTGTCAATTGAAAATTGACATAGTTGTGTTTAGGCTTAAAAATCAACAAAACATCCGGAAAGAACATGAAGAGGAAATGAAGGTTTATAGTCAATGGTAATATGTGTGTGTGTATGGTGATGTTTGATATTTGAGAGAGCGGGCGGTTTCTGCTGTAGCAATTTCTGCTCCAGGGCTCTTCGAACCTGGCTACGCCACTGAATCTAGAATTTTTGTTTCATCAAACCGTATAATTTGTGATTTTACTTGTGTTTGTTTCAGATAATCTGATTAAGGACTTAACCCTTGGAGTATGCTATAATGTGACCGTAAGTCACAAATGTTCCCGGTTCATTGCCTGGGGAATAGAAAGAACAATTTCAGAAGCTCAGTGGCGATTTGATCATAATCTACCTTCTGTGGGAATTCCACAGACTATTAGAGCTCTTGAGAAATATTTGATGTAAGCTTAATTTACATTTTTATGTCATGCTTGAACGATTTGTAGTATTACTTAAATAATAATTGAACCATATTACGTGAAATTCTATCTTAAGGGTTATAACCATCAAGTATATAACACAACTGGAACACAGGGTAGATAGGAGATTTGGGATAAAAAGCGCGCCGTTTCAGCAACCTTCCCCCACCACAAAGGGGGACTCAACGCAGATATGTCAGTTCCTCAAGCCGTGCACGCGGTTGTTAATACGCTCCTGGCCGTGCATACAATAGGTTGACTGCAATTAAAGTTATATATTCGGAATCTACATTAACTGCAGAATCTGACGGTGTAAATATAATCTTATTTTAATCGTAATTCAAATTTTAACAACTAAAAATGTTAAACAAATATCACACCTTGACATGAAAAAGTTACTAAGCGAGGACTTTTTTTATATTTTGGTCAGAAGCAAACTTCAAGCAAAAAAATTGTCGCTAATGAGATGATCTTCAGCATATGTGTTACAACTGTGAACTGTGTTACAACTAAACTGTGTTACAACTAACCCACTTTGTTTAGTTGTAACAAGTGATCTTTTAATATCTGCTTTGTTGGGTGATTAATGAGAAATTTCTAATATTAAGGTTCAGAGCAAGTAATTAACAAGGTCATAAATGCTAAACCTAGAAAGTATTTAACGTAAAGGCAATAACAACAATTGAATAGTAAATTTACAAATCAAATTGTTGGGCTCCTTCCTTTGACAATAGGAGTATTTGTATAATGTTGCTAAGACACGATTAGTAAAAAAAAATGTTTTGATTGTTATTGCTATTCTGTATATGTTTTAAAATTCATATCATCACACATAAGAGAAAAGGGGTTGGTTAATAATACTAAACTGAACTTCTAAGAATATGTATTAATGTCCACAATCGTGCTTAAATACATTACATGTTGTGAAACAATTTCTTAAATCTCTGTCTTACACCTAACTTATTTTTGTTACATTCATTCATAATGTTTCTCGCATTGGAGAAACAAACGGTTTTATAAAATAGTGTCCCTATCAGTTTCATTAGTTTAAAAGTGTGACTTTCGTGGGGTGAGGACGCGCCCTCTTCGCACCACTGCTCTGCATGTCATTGATGTGAAATTTTGTGTACTTTGGCAATTATTATAAAATATAGGAATTAGTACACAATTGTAAGTTGTATTACATTGAGTATTTCATTCAACGGAGCGGAAAACCCAGTTTGATAGGGTTTCTTCAACCCAGCGGGAGCCCATTACCGGTATTGATATTTATTTTCTGCAAATAAATAAAATATATGATCACATCTGTACAGTACGTCGACATCGTACTGTACGTTTAGAGACAGGGATGGGGTGTTGTAAGTAAATACACTGGTTACATTTTAAATAAGGCTCAGAGGACCGCAAGGGGTATGATTTTGACGGGTCTATTACATGGTGTGGACTGACTTGAGGAGAGGGGATTTAGGCTGCGTACGGACCGGAAAGGTGGTGTGATGTGGCGTGATATGACGTCACGACGGGAAATAGCCATGAGCTGCTTTATTGGAAATAATATGGTACAACATCCATAGAATAGTTGTATTATTGAACTTATATCAAATATTAAAAAGGTTAAAATATATTTAGCTTTACAATGATCGAGTAGCAAAAACATAAAGAGTTGCTGGAGTGAGGAGGTTGGTGCGACATAAAATCAACCTCGTCGCGCTATTAATCACTCTTCTACAAACAAACTGCACACTTAATTGTAAATTGCTCGATCACATGTTAAAAATAATCTCTTCAACTACAACTTTGTCGCTTAAAGTTTTCTTCTGGCCCAAAAATAAAATACTTCCTTGCATACTAACTTTTTCATGTCACAATGAAGAAATTTTTGACTCCTTTTAACTATGGAAATTCTATTTCAAATCAAAAGTAAAAACTATTTATACCATTACATTCTGCATTTGATGCAGATTACGAATATATAAACACTATTGTACTTAATCTTTGTTATTGAAGGCTAGGAGCGAGTTAACACTTCGAGCACTATTCGATGAATTGGCTAAAATCCGCTGGGTCCCCCATGCTGGTGGGGGAAGGCTGCCACAACGGCGCGCTTTCATGATCACGTACCTAGCATTCCAGTTGTGTTATATACTTTGATGGTTATAACTGGTTACTGGTTATAACTGACATATAAATTTGCTTTGGAATGAACTTTAGAATTCAAATTACATAAAGCTTAAAATTAAGGATTACCTCTAAATTATAAAACACTCAGTCAAATTCTTTGTTGGAAAACTTCATGGACATAACTTGGACAACTAGCTGTCACAAGTTCTTTTTTGATGATGATTGTCTGGTCCAGTGGGCCACATACTAAGCCTATACAACATTTAATTCAGCTTGCCAATGCAAAAGTTTGTTCAAAGAATGTGAGCTAGTTGGGCCTAGTTTGCCCGGGCTAGGGGTGCAAGAGGTTTTAAGTTTGTTGGGGGTGTAAGCAATAGAACAGATGATCTGCAAAGGAAATCTCCCCACTATCTGTTTTCACTCTTAACTGCCTGTTTCCTACCTGTTGATATAACTCCTGTTCTTGATTTTGATAGTGTACTTGATCGTGGCTTTGTCTTTCTTTGCCAGTTTATTTTGTCCAATCCTGTGAGACACATAGTTATCAGTTGGCTTGTTATTATTGATATGTTTTTGCTAAATGTTTTGTATTACTGTATTTATTAGGGATGGTTGGGTCTCAAAAATTATGGGAAACATGAGGGAAAATATATTTTTAGATTTTCAGACCTAATCTGGTATTTTCTCGGAACTGGGTCTGTGCCAAGGTTCGATCTCTCAGCAATTTTGCTGCAATTATGAGTTACGATGTCAATTGTCTCCTCCAAAAGATAATCACGATTTCGCGGTGAATGTGTGTTTCAGTAATCTCAGAAAACATTTACCAACTCGCCATGTTTAATGAGCTGTTTTATTAAAAAATCATGCCGCTTACCACAACCAACATTTTGAAGGCTGCTACACCCTTAAAGCCCTTCACAAAGTAAACCCACTTCAAAACCCTTATATGCAACCAACTGGTCTTAAAAAATTCTTAATTGCTCACCAGTTGGTACTTAAAACAAAGTTCCCCTCTGGTTTAAATTTAAGATGGTAAAAAAGTGATTCAACTCAGCTAAATTTAAATTTTCTTTTAGGCTTATTATGGATATTTATAGGCATGCACTGTGGATGCGATACTCCCCAGTGTGGATTAACGTCCGCACGGGTGAGTACTACGACTATCCGCAGTACTATCCTGATAATTAGACCAATCCGTAGACCAAAGGAAAAATGTGGTTCGGATTCCACTATAAACTGTAGGTCCCTTAGTTGCCATTAGCTGTATGGGCTATTAATTAACAGCTGTGTCTAAGGAATGTCGGCCTTAGTCACTAACAAGACTACAAGATCGCGCCACTCATCATACACTCATCTCCATTCATACTTGGCTTAAAATACCTACTTGGTATGGTCGCCATTTCAAAGAAAAGTATTAAAGTATTAAAAAGTATTCTTATTTTTCTTTCATCTGTACTCAATCATATGTTCTCAAAATTCAACTACTTGTAAACTGTTCATATTTACAGTATTTGTTTTGTTCATTTTTACATTTTTCATTAATTTCTCTCTGCTTGAAAAATTTTGTATTTAACAAAAATTCACACATGTTTCATTTTTCATCATTCTTTCAAGAAATCCTCAAGAACAATACACAAGTCATTTGGCAGTCCCGGGCCTAGGTCTTACCATGTGACCTACGGTAATAGCTACGTCCCTATAGGGAAATTCGCTAAAAAAAGCTCAATCAATTTGATCGTTTATAAAAATTTGCCATTGTTATATGTTACAAGTGCTTGTGTCAAATTTCTATGGCTCTAGGGGGTAATTTTATTAGATGATTCATATCAAGGGAGGTGGGTCACAGATATCTCGCAAGCACAAAGTGTGTCACATGCAAATCCCTGTCTTTACTTCAACACAACATGCTCTGTACAGTTTGATATTCTAAAGTTTTGTGAATTTTCCTAATTTAAAAAAATCTGTTTTATTTTATCAATTAGTTAAAATTTGGATATTTGGATATTTTTTGGCATTTTGCATTATATTTCTATTTTTCTATAATATCTGTTTTGACAACAGTGTTTCCATGGGCAATGAATAGAAAGATATTTATGCCATAATACAAATTAACTTTACTGTATCTTGTGTTTTGTCAGATAAAATGTATATACTGTATTGTGATATGTCTAATGTTCCATTCTTGTAGGGAAGTTTGTCCTAACTCCCCCTGGGCCCTCACAGCAACCCTTTCCTCTCAAATTGCCTCACATCGCTATCCAGACAAATCCTTCCTACAACTGAAAACTGGACTACTTCTGAGTTTAGCATCCCAGGTATACAAGATCATTTCATAGGTAACCTTGGGTTGAAACATTTTTGTATCTGATCTAAATGAGGAGTCTTAATCTCAATAAATTCTATATGCTTTAGCAAGAACAGATTGGGCTTGGGCAGGAACTTGGCTAGGAGTGTGGAAGGTGCTGCTACCTAATTAGTTCAGAGGGCTATATTCTACCCAAGGTTGGAATGGAAATATGTTGTTGTGTGTGATACATAACATTTAGTATTTGGGTTAAAATATGCATCTAGCTTGCGTCCCTATCTCAGTGGTAGTTGAATTCATTGAATTGAATAGTTGGGAAAGTATAAATTGTATATATGATTACACAGTAGGTACCAGTTTGTTTTATGCATTACTCTTTAGAGGTTATCAAGCTGATTAAAGTGCTTTACATACTTAGTACCTGGGGACGGAGCCATGGCTTGGTGTGGTTTATTTTTATTGTAAAAGCAATATAAATTAAACTCACGTTTGATTTACAACTAATTTTGGCTTTTATTATTTAAGTTTCAGAGGCATTTCAATTTATTATGATGGAAATTTTAACCTGGCAATCCTCATGATATTAATTTATTTTACAGTCGATGAAAGATCGCTCGTTTATAATAGCCTATACTTGCATAAACATTGTTTTGACATTTTGTTTGAATTAAAACAGCTGATTACTTTTGGGGATTAAGTTTTAGTAGGAGAGAGCCAAGTTAAATAATCAGTATTTGATCGGAACTTGGAACTATTTTCACCTATATTGAGTTATCTTCTGTGTAATCTTTGCTCAATAGTAACAACTGATGTTTTTCCTTTTGTACTGTATTTTGTAATTTGCTAGTATACTGTGGGTGGATGGCTTATTATGAAGACATGTTACAACTTACAAGTCTTTTGTTTACTTTTTCCTTGTTATTTTGTTCAACCAACATGGTTACTTAGCAACCCATAAGGCCAATGTTAAAAAGTTTTGACTTTCAATTTCATTTTTCTATGTAATTAGATTTTTGTTGGCAGTTTTAACTGCATTAAACACGTTTTTAGGCTAGAAATCAATTATTTACAACATTTGAAGAAAATCGTCAAAGCAGTTTTCAAGATCTTTGTGCAAGCAAGCATACAAGCAAACATTGCTCATATAAGAGTATAGGATAACTAACTACTAACATTGAGTAAAATCTATAAACCATCATTATACTTACCTTAATACTACTGCTTCCAATGTGCCAATAACGAACAAAATCAAAATGAAAATTTAGCCTGAGATTGTGTGAAATATTTTTAGAAAAATGGAGGAACGTATTGTCTATGACAGTTTGTATAATAACTAGTAATTATTAAGTCTTTAGAATGTACGGGGATTTATGCTCACTTTTCCTCTCAAAGGACTTAGATTCTACTATTTTTCAGAGTGAGGACCACAAGCCAGTGCCACTGTTGGCAGTAGGACCGGACTGCAGTGTTCTGTTGTACTGTGCCAGTCAGCTGTCCCGACGCTGTGTCTCTGTCACTAGTGCTGCACTCTGTGGTACTCTCGGCGCAACTGCAGGAGAGACGTGGCTTGAGGCTGGTCCTCTACTGCTGGCTTCCGGTGGTGTCTGCTACCTTGGTGACTGGGCCAAGTTTGGCAGCGGAAAATCCAGTGTGGCCTCACAAATTACAGCAGGTATGTCTAAGTAATTTACGTAAGTAAAGAGTGTGAACTTTTGCTGAACTTAAACAATTGTCCAAATCTCTATCTAAGATGATTGTGGTATGTGTGTGTGCCAATCGAAAGTTTACCAATTAACTATACAACACCATCAAGCATATACCTCACCATTAGAAATAACTAATTGTAGCCTAATGTTGATACAATGCAAATTGTCAAGGCAAAAAAGTATTATTATTATCATCATCAGCATCATCATCATTATTATTATTATTATTCAACAAAAGAATCTTTTCTTTAGTAGATAAAATTAATGCAATAGTAGTACAGTCAATGAAGGTAAAAAAGTGTGAGCTGTGTATTTATCCAATACATCAGTGATTTAAGCCGGGTTTATACGATGCCAGTTGGCGAGACAATTGTCAGGAGACAACTGACTGGCTTGGAATTGCTGGCTTCGTGTCAACACTTCAGGCCAATTGGCCCGCCGATTGTCCCGAAATTCAGTTGTCTCCGGGAGTAGACTGAGGACAATGAGCTGGGCCCAGTGAGGCCTCACCCCTTGAAAACCCAGTTGTCGTGACAATTGGCGCCGTGTAAACAGTGTAGAGGCCAATAGCGCTGTCTTGTCTTTTGGCAGTAGTACCTTGGTGCACTGTAAAATGTCTGGGCAAGAGTTGGCCACGTGTGAACAGGTTCTCATTCAACTTGCCTGGTCTACGACAATTCCAAAACCATGTGATGCCAATTGGCAAAGACATGTCTCGCCAACTGGCATCGTGTAAACCCGGCTTTACATAACAGTTTACCTACTTATTTTATTTTTGAAATTACTTATTTATTTATTATTCAATTATTTAACTTATATTAAATAAATTATTATTTATTTATTTTATTTAAATAAAATATTCCTCACATGTTTTCTTTATCAAATGCATATTTTCTTAATAACTATTCACAACAAACGTCTGAAAACAATTATATAGTCTGACAGTAAAAAATATATACTTTAAGAAAAAGGTTCATAAGTGTCTGAAGTCTGCATTTGTGATATTAATAGTTAGTTTATTTGGTTGTCACCTGATAATATATAATATTGTTTTATGTTGATGATTTGGGTTTTTTATGTGAAATACAATGTAAGAAGTTTGATCACAAAATGGTTTTTAATTTTTTATCAATTTCCGTACTTATTGTTAATGAACATTTGTTCACCCCCAAGAGGTCGAGAAGGGGTGACAACACCTCCTAGGGTAAAAGCAACCCCCTGGCACAGGGTGGACATTGAAATTTACACGGGAAAACGGTCATTGGCTGGACTAAGTGTGCTGCATCATCATATGACTTTATGTACTTTGCTTGTCTCTAGTGCTAGAGAGTGGTCGAGTGGACCTGGTGCCACCATCAGAACCTCTGGTCAGTTCTCCCCCCTCCCTCCCCTTCCAGGCGGCTGTCTGGACATTCTGGTCTGGAGACAAAGCGACCTCCTGCGCCCAAGCTCAGCTGCGTACACTTATTGAGTATGATCATTGTGATCATTATCATTATCATATGATCTTATGAGTATCAGTTGTTTGTTTGTATGTATACAATTGCACTTGTTTGGACTTTTTTTGTGAAATGATTTATAGGGGGTAGTATGGAAAACTCTCCAAAGAAACCTCTGAATGTGTCACCTTTATCTCTATTGTCCAACATGCAAATATCAACATTTTCTTCTTGCCGCTGATTGTGTGGTTCTGTGTATCGATCATGATACGAGCATATTTACTTTGTGAGGTACCAAATTTTAAGGGGGGTGAAAAAAAACGTACTGTGAATAAATAAACACCGGAACATACTCGTTTTCCATCCATAATAGCCTACCCTTAGGTCTATATGTTGGCCATAGCTTGGGCTATGGGCCAAAGAACGTAGGCCTAGTTTTAAACACAGTATGAACTGTATAACACACACTCACACGACATATTTATTAATACTAGAATTCCAATTCATCAAATAAAGTGAAACCAACCGCTTTACGAATATTTAGCGCCGATGACGACATGTTTTGGGGGGGGGGGCAAAATTTATGTGAGGTAGGGTTAAGTAATTTTAAGTGGCCATTATACTTTATCTCATTTTTGCTGCTCATATTCAGAGGTTAATACGAAAAGTATCACTGTATGTCATGCGTGATTAATTAAAATAATTCAGATTAGTACTTATGTTCTTTTTGAATTCTATTCATTATTCTTGGGGAAGCTTAAACTTGCCCCTGTATCTTCGTTTTATTCAGACTTGGGATTGTAGGGCTTTCACTATATTTAGAACAATAAAGCAAAGGTCTGAGGCAAGAAAACTTGTCTTTATATTTTACTGAGCACAAAATTTAAGATCTTATTGAAGTTATTAATCGTTTGTAAATTTCCTGTTCTAATTATTTCCAGAGTTTTTGGAATGCCATTTATTGGTGATGGAGGGGCGGATATTGAAGTGGTCGCTGACCATCTTCTCTATGAAAGCATGCAGACCAGAACAAGTAAGGTGGAAGGTGCGATACCAGAACAGGACCTTAAGGAGGTTTGTCAATTATTAAATTAATCTAAGTTACTTAGGCTATATAATTCTTCTCAAACATTATGAACAAAACCAAACCTAAACTAGAGTATATTAATTCAATTAATATAAATATATACACTAGGTAAAACCTGTCGAAATCGACGGTTACTTTGGAAAAGGTTTTAAGTGACTTTTGGAAATCAATCTTATGTTCCATTATTTTTAAGTACCTGCAGCGATAAATCTCTTGCATGTGGAGAAAAAAGTAGGCCTAGGTACTCGGAAAGGATCCAATAGAAGTTAGTGTATTATTCATCCCTGCCATGTTTTTAATGTCCCTTGCTTGTATTACCGTAGTTATCGAGACACAAAAATATGCTGTCAAACTATTTTATTTATTCTTATTCTTTTATTTATTCTTATTCTTATGCTAATAAGAATCCCACAATGTGATTATAAGTTGAATTACTGATTACCCACTGAAATCATAGACTTAAAAGGTGAAGGATAACATAAGTGAGAAAGATAGATTAGTGGCAGACCTTATTTGAGGGTTTGTAGAACGTAAAATTATTTCTTAAATCTGCAACTTCATAACACTTTCTAAGATTTGCTACATATTTTCAACACAGTCATATTGGGATATTCATATTCATATTCAAACATCTTTATTCGTAAATCATGTACATTGGTGGTACAGTGAATAGTGTCAGAATACTTAAAATAAAAATACTATTTCTATTTATGGGAGGTGGAAAATTCATCAAAAGAATATAATGCTAGATTTATTAAATGCTCCTTTAGAATTTTCTTGAATTTAGATAGGTTCGTTTCTTTTTTTATGAATTCAGGGACAAATTTTAGAAAATCATTACCAGCATATGAGGGGTTTTTTTTCAAAAAATTTTAATTTGTGAGGCTGGACAAACTCCCTTCTCCTCCTAAAATTATAAGAATGCACTGAATTTATTACTTGCTCAGATTCATTTTTTTTTGCGATAAGAATTGTTTCATAAATATATTGCCCATAAACTGTAAAAATTTGTAATTTCTTAAAATGTTCTTTTGCCGAATCATCTCGTTTAAGCTTAAGCATAATTCTGATAGCTTCTTTTTGTCGCTTCAGAATACTATCCATATTTAATATTTTTGTTGACCCATATAATGCTAAACCGAATGAAATATGGGAGTGAATGTGTGCAAAATATATACTTTTTAGGGTTTTCAAATTACAATAAAAGGACATTTTTGATAATGCGAACATTCCAGAGTTAGTTTTGGTTAAAACTTTCTGTGTGTGCTTATCCCAATTCAAATTTTCATCTATTGTTAATCCCAGAAAATTGATTTGATGTTCCTTTTGAATATTATTTGAGTTGTAAGTTATTGTTGGATCTTTTGTAATTCTGTTCTGTGCTGTTCTGAAATTTATAAATTTAGTTTTTTGTGAATTTAATAATAAGTTATGATTGTAGAAATAGTTCCCAATATTCTCTAATTCTACATATGTAAGAATTTCAGCTTCTTCTGGAGAGTTAGATGATACAATCAAATTAGAATCATCAGCGTAAAGACATAATTTAGAATTTTGCTTGTAGGTTAAAGTATCTTCCATGCCCTTAAGGTAACACAAAAATAGCAAAGGCCCCAAAATTGAACCTTGTGGCACCCCAAATTTAATTGGTTGATAAGTTGATGATGATTTGATAATTCTATTATGATTTGTCAAATGGGTAATTTCCACGAATTGAGATCTATTTGTCAAATAGGAAGAAAACCAATTAAGAGCTCTTTTTGATATTCCAATTATTTTAAGTTTTTCTAGTAATTTACTATGTTTTACACTATCAAACGCTTTAGAAAGGTCCATAAATATGCCAATTGTATAATGTCCTTTGTCTACTGATTCAATGACTGATTCGATAAAAGAAACAGCTGCGCTTACAACTGATCTTCCATTCCGAAATCCATGCTGATTATCATCCAAAATATTAAATTTTTCCAAGAACTCGGATAATTGTAAGTATACGGCTTTTTCATACACTTTAGAAATTGAAGGAAGAACAGACACTGGGCGATAATTGGATATAATTTCAGGGTCATTTTTTTGTGTAAAGGAATTATTTTTGCCTGCTTTAATATGTTAGGAAAAATGCCTGAAAAAAACGAAGAATTGATCAGATGACAAACAATTTTGCTGATGTAGGTTTTTGCAGCCTTTATTATTGTTACAGGAATTTCGTCATGCCCACTGGAGTGTTTATTTTTTAAAGATTGAATTATTTTTTCCACCTCCCTTTCAGTGATCGGTTTCAGTTCAAATTTTGGCTTTACAAACAAGTCATCAATAAAATCAGCTTTCACATCAGCCGTCACATTCTGATTGTTACAATTTAAATCTAAATCTAAATCTGTAACCATGTTGCTAAAATAACCATTAAACATATTTGCAATTTTACCAGGGTCTAAAATTGTTTCTGAATTTTGTTTTAAAATTATATTTTCTAATGGTTTCTTGTCATTTTCCCCAACTTCAGAGTTGATTATATTCCAGACGGTTTTCTGAATGTTTTGGGAATTTCCAATTTTTTGTTGGAAATATCTGTGTTTAGCCTTATTTAGTTCTCTTTTATAAGTAGCCTTTTCCTGATGTAAAAAATCTTTTAGACTATTACTTTTATTACTACGATATTCCTTAGTCAGTTGAATAATATGCTGTTGTTTCATCTTTAATTCTTTAGTTATCCATGTACGTTTTTTATTTCTCTTTGTAACCAATATTTTTGGAAAAGCCTGATCAAAATAGTAAGAAAAAATTTTAAAAAAGACATCATACTTTGTTTCTACCCTGGAATTATATACATCGAGCCAAGATTCATTGGAAAGTAATTGTGTAAAAAGATTAGTGTTTTCAGGTGAAAATTTACGCAACTCTTTTTTAATCGGCAAATTTACGGTTTTCATAGAATGTTGGCATTTTACTTTTAATAGCTGTCCATCATGGTCAGATAAGAAAGTAACCAGACCTTCTACCTTTAAGTCAGATAATTTAATATTTTTTATCAAAAAGTTGTCTATTGCTGTCTCCGAATTATCTGTAACTCTTGTTGGGAAATTAACAAGGTACCTCATATTTTTGCTTTCTAACATCTGTTGTAATAATCTATGTCTGCTGTCCAATACTAAAACATCAATATTCAGGTCACCTGCTACAATAATTTTATCATATTTTTTATTAAAATAATCAATTAAAATATCTAACCTGTCCAGAAAAATATTTACATCTGATCTAGGTGACCTGTAAATACCAATAATGAGATATTTTTGCTTATTAATACTGAATTTACAGGCACAAAATTCAAATTGCAACTCTTCAAGTAGAACATTACAAATTGCATCCGGCACCGAGACCCTCCTCAGCTCAAAACTCTTCTCTGCCAAAATAATAACCCCTCCTTTAGACTTTACTTTTCTAGAAAAACTGGATTTTACTGAATAAGAATTTAAATTAACCCTTTTTATTTCCTCTTCTTTCGTGTCGTGTTCTGATAAAACAACTATATGGGGATTTACTTCGTCTAAAATTGCCTGTAGTGAATTTAATCTAGAAGGGAGGTGTTAAATGTTCTGGTGAAAAATTTTGATAAAATTATGTTGCGATTTTATTTGATTGGTGTGGTGGTTTGTAGAATTGAGTTTAAAGCTGAGAAAGATGACTGCGCCGCCCCACAGTTATGCATAACTGTATCCAACCCAGCACTGACCCCACTTCCATCACCATTACTCTGCTTTAACACTTCACTGTATGATAGGTCGCCAGGTGCCACAATAACTTGCTCTGTTTGAGTTGATGTCTGCTCCGTGAGTTGATCAGCTGCTCTTGTCTCCGTCGTGGACACTGGAGTAGTTGCAGCCTCATTAGGTGTTACATTGGCAGTGATGTCTCCAGCTTTAGCTACATAAACGTTTTATGCGATAGCATTTCTGGAGTTTGATTTTCAAGCCACTATAATTACTTATTATTTATATTGACATTTTAATGATATCTGACTGAAAATTGGCAAATCTACATGACAAAATTGTGAAGAGGTTCATTGCCAGTACCTTTTACATTGCCTTGTGAGTTGTGACTATTCTATTTGTAGGATGGACAAATGTTTCAATGTTTAACACATCATCATCAGATCGCACATATAACTTGAATGATTAAAGAATCACTTGGATGGTCACATCATAGCTTTAAAAACTCACAAAACATTTACAAGACACGGATGAATAAACTAGGTGTTTGAACGTTTTATGTCATTTCCAGGGCTGTGCGAATCCAGAAATTTTGGTTCGAATCCGAATCCGAATCATAGCTGTACAGATTTTATCGAATCCGGATCGAATCCGAATATTTTAATTAATCCCGAGTCGAATCTGGGTCGAATCCGAATCTCAAATTTACAGCCATTATCGAACCTGGATCGAATCCGAATCTGAAATTTAAAGCTGTTATCGAATCCGAATATTTAAACCTGTTCAGAGTCGAATCCAAATCCGAGGAAAGTCAGCAGTACCAATTTTCACATTTTTAGACCACATTTTCTGGGGCTGAAATAACTTAGGGAATTGCTTAAAAAAATTCTTGAAATGGGCCAAATAAAAAAGTTATAAAATTTAGGCCTACCTATTTGAAGTTTTGAAACTAAAAAATTGGGCATAAGTTAGGCATACCACCTAGGCCTAAGTTACTCGCTAAAAGTGATGGACTACCAATTTGTGTAGTCTAAAACATAGGCCCAGCCTATTATACACCTCGGTGTTAATCATCCACACAAGCCTATGTCTGCATTACTATTACAAGTAACAACTAACACTGTGAGGTTAAGTTTACTGATAGCCAAGATAGGGTTCAAATGCGACCTACACTAATGTGCCTAAAACCTAACACCAAGTTGGTCAGGTTCCTAACATGAACCGGTCAACAGCAAATCGGAGTGCACAAATAGTTTTTTAGTGTCTAAAAAATTATATTGAAAATTATATTCAATCAGAATCTAGTAAATTTTAATATTGAATCCCAACTCGGATCTATTTCCAAGAAATTTGAATATCGAATCCGAACCCGGATCTCTTACCAGTAAATTCGAATATCGATTCCGAATCCGAATCCAGTTAGAAACAGTAGATTCGTTCTCGAATCCGAATCGAATCTCTAAAAAGATTCGGATTCGATTCGTTTTTCGAACTATTCGCACAGCCCTGGTCATTTCCATTTCATTTTATCTTTCAGTATCTCAACATTGTATGTTCGTACAAAGTTCAACTAACACCACAAGCAAAGAAGCTGTTAAGAAACTACTTTGTAGCCAGCCGAAGAGAGCGCCCTGATTGTTTACCTTTAAATGCTCTAAAAACACTGTAAGTTTTTTCTATAAGCCCTTTAGTATTCTAAATCCATATATAAAGCCCAAAGTACCCATGAATTTTTGAGAAAACTACAAGTCACGCCCCCATAAACCATATACTTAAAATGTTCATCATGACGAGAAACCTTGCGCCAAACTATCCATTATTTCATAAATTGCCCTTCCAAATTGCTTTCCAAAGGGAACTTTCATATACCTAATGTTAAAAATACCTCAGCTGTACTTATTTGTATGTTATTATTTTTAATTTATTACCTTACTAGCAGAGTACCCGTCCTTCGTAGGGGGAATTTTAATCTAATTAACCTACAATTATACAATATTAACTTAAGATTTTTTCTAAGAATGGGAAACCAAGTTTGATATTTATTGTGAAAACTGAGATTTTTAGCAGTGATGAGAGCTGCTAAAACGAGCTTACAAAATAATCTGTTGAAGGTGTACTCATTAAGTTGTCCATGCATTAATCAAAGTATTTCTCCTTGGATAAAAAGTTAACACTACTGATATGAAGTAAACATCTTGCAACCATCTTAAGGTGCTTCTTTTTTTAGCCGCAAATAAAGGCAATTTTAACTAAATACTTTTGCAGTTTTATAAATCACTCCATGCTTTTGTTCTATTAACCAATTATTGTCATAAACAAAGAGAGAGAATAAAACATGAACGCTTACTATTTCTGTCGTACCATTAATCTTATTAATTAATTTTATTCTCAGATCAAACCATAATGATTCCTTTATTTCAGGACCGCTCTAGCAGAAGCTCACGCTCGCCTGTGTTTGCGTACCATTGTGACTTACGATGATGTTGTGTTGGTAGTGTTCCTGTATGAAGAGTCTATTGCAGCACTCTATGGTACTTCACTAATGTCCCCACCTCCATCAATGCTTGGGGCTGATAGTTCTAATTTGACAATTGCTGAACAAGTAAGAAAATATAAAAATATTTTTTTCGGTAATGTGTTGATCACATTTTTTTATCATTTGAAACGGTTTACTGTGTGTGTTAAACTGTATGTGCCAGGGGTGCCCACAGGGGGGTTTGATGTCGCAAAATGCGACATCAGAAATTTATTTGGGGGGGATTTTATGATTTTGGGGGGGATTCAAGCCAGTGGTTGGTTAAAAGCACATAAAAGATTAATCAGATAATTTTTACGACCTCCTTAATTTATTACTGGGGTAATTATGCAATCAAAATCCCGTTTGACATTTTATCTTGATTAATAAATCATTTTATAGTTGCTATAAAATACATAGATACTTTTATGTGGATTTCCACTTTCTGACTCGTATCATGTTTGACAGTGAGAACAACTCCATGCCAACTGTTGTCAAAGGATTATTATTCTAAATTGTATCAGCAATTTGAGTTTGTTTTTAGCTTTCATTATGAACTCATTCTTATATAGTCTCATTGCCTTGAGGACCTATTGATGGTTTTTTAGGTTTGTTTATTATAATATATTCTTGATTCATAAAAAAACAGTATTATGATAATGATAATCATTTTGCTATTTTTACAACATGAACAACAACATGAAAGCTTGTGATAATATTTTGACTCGGGCCCAAATAATTATGCCTGGGTCATTTATTCATTGGAAGAAATTGACATACAGTACTGTGACAATTTATTTAAGGTTTTTGATAGGCTATGTGTTTACGTTAACTTCAAGAACTGAAACACATGATTCTGGATTAATTAAATTTTATTTGTTATTGTCTTTTCTTGAATCTAGAAAGAGCTTCAAACAAATTTTACCTAACCCGCCATGTTAAACTTCCCTATCCCAAGCGTGATGTATACAACTTCCTTACTTCTCGAGTGATGTAAAGTATCAAAAACTCACTCGGTGATGTAAAGAAACCCATTTAAATAACATTGAGTGCTTAACTTAAAAAATATACCTCTATGGAGCCAACGACGTTGAACGCTAGAAATGGAGCCTCTATCAGCTGTGCGCTTGAATGTTATTGTTATACTTTAAAGTATTTTCCTAACCTAGCTTTTGTTTGTAAAAGAACGGTACTGTTAGAAGATGAGTGAAATGGGTAATGAAAAATATTGTACGTAAACCCATGTATATTGTCGGGTCAGGTAAAATCTTGTACATTACACGTTACGCAAGAGCGTGTTTACATCACTTAAGTGAATTATGCAACCTGCGTGATGTAAAAACGCTCTTACTACACTTGTAATGTAAATAGCTATTACTAGTCTTAGGATAGGATAGATATATAATTATTTGTTTACGCCACACTACACTATTTTGACGAACTTCCCATGCAAGGATTTAGTCCAGAAAACAGCTGTTTGTGCTTAATCAAATGGGGTTTCATACAGTACTACTGTACTGTAATGAGTTTTGCCGGACACCAATCAGCTGATTATACTGTATTTGGGTGGCAATGAGTGGCTATAAGAAAAACATAGCCTCTCTTAGAGGTTATGACTAGTGATTTTTAGTCCTTTAGTTGGTGGTAATATAGGGATTTAAATGGATTTAGTAGTATGGCGTAAACTATCGTACGTCACTCATCCAAAATATGTTGGCCGGACTCGTATAAAAAAAAACCACTACTCGACTTCGTCTCGCACGGGATTCAGGACTAGTTAACGTAATATATTATTTTAACCCACTATGATGTTTTTAACTGTTTTACATATAGGTACATTAATTGGTGGCTGAAAGTTACGTTTTGCAGGCCATGCCAGCTGTCATCGTCATTCGGGGATCGAGCAGGTTTTTACATCCCTAGGGCCGCAAAATCAGCTGCCCGCTTTAAATACACAATCAGTATCCATAGCATTGCAATAGAGTTGTTTTATTGTCACCGCTGCCTAGCAACTATTTATTATTATTTTTGCTGATTAGATTCCTCAAATTATTTATCCACATGACCTTAAAGTTGTAGTTGTGTTGACTATACAGTCCACTCTTGGTAATTCAAACACTTGATAATTCAAAACTTTCGATAATTCAAAATGAAGGCTCAGTCCCTAGAGAATCTCTCAATATTTCAAATTTTTACCATGCATTTTGATACACTCAGTATTTCAAAGTCCAAATAGAGGGCAGGTCAATTTGCAACACGCAGTAATTCTAAGTTTCGTAAGAAAAACACTCTATAATTCGAAGTTACTCAGTAATTCGAAGTTTCGTCGGTTAACACTCTACAATTCGAAGTCATGCTGTAATTCGAAGTTTCGTCGAAAAAACACTCTGTAAATCAAAGTCACGCAGTAATTCGAAGTTTAGTCGGCAAAACACTCTATAGTTCGAAGTGATCTCTTCCTGTTATAACAGGAAACTATACAGTACAGTACATCCTGTTCCCATGGTAGGCTAGTGTTGGAAGTTTTGATGTTTGTTTAGTTAGAGCAGTAGTCTGAGTTAGTTCGCTGACTTGTTTTTTCTAAGTTGGCAATCCGATCACTAGATTGCGCGACATCTCCTTGAGCACAAACGTAGTTGTCGACAGCTGATAGTTCAGCTATTTGGCGAAATATATAGTGCTAAATAACAGATTTCTTGCAATTACAGTAACTGAAAAATAAGCCGGTGATTGTTTAAAAGTGTACTAAAATACTGTATGATGTTTTATTGTAACGTGCTGTACCTTTGTATGTATTAAACAAATGAACTCTCTGTAATTTGAATGGTTTATTTTTCTCCCGATAAATCGAACTCTTGATAATTCAAAACTCTTGATAATTCAAATGTATATGCTTGGCCCACCAATTTAGAATTATCAAGAGTCTACTGTATCAGTGTGCAGTGCATTATCATTGAGGTGAATTAGTGGTAATAGGGTATAGTGTGGTGGTGAATAATAGCGTTCGTTACCACGGACTGAAATGGTTTTGCAGTCCTCGACCTCGTATCGAACTTAAAAACTACCTCGAACCAGCAAAACCTCATTTTGGCCCTAGGCACGAAATATACTATTAAGTTTAGGCCTAGTAATATTTTTGAGACTGAATATTTTACACTTATTTAAAAAGGACCAAACTCAGAAGTGGATTAAAGGGCAATTTAGAAAATATCTCAAACTTTTTGACATAACTTCAAGTACTTTCTCCCCTAAAATTTAATATGGTAAAAGAATTGTTTAAATGTAAAACCCCTGATCCCAAAAAAGTGGTTTTCGAAGTGATGTGTGTGTCTGTCTGTATGTGTGTATGTAGGGTACAGAGCTACAGACCACGCCTGTGGTCCGAGTCCGATTTTGATGAAATTTGGTATTTTAGGTACCAATCCATGGTCTCTCCAGATGTTTTTTTTTTTCATTTTGGATTTTTAATAGTGATATTCCATAAAACCCTATAAAATAATGGATGAATAAAATTTTCTCAGAATTGGCCCGAACGATTTTGAATAAAAATTAACATGTTATACTCTTTGACTATGACAAAAATTGTATAAACCCTCTATGCCGTAAAAATTATGGTTCAAAAGTTATTGCAACTTTTGTGATTTTCCCTTTTAAACCCTATTAACTCATGGAAAATCGGATTTAAAAAAAACTACATGGCCAATTTTGATTCAAATTGTGTGCATGTTAAAAATCCAACTCATTTAAATTAAAACTAAACTAACAAATAGTTTTCTACTAGAGTTTTAAAGGAAAATTGTCCATTTAAATTGGGTTAAAGTTTGATTCAAACGCTTAAAATTCCCATAAATTTAAAGAAGTGTCGGGGGCACCCCTTCCCTCCCCGCATTATAAACATAACTATGGGTTAGCCCCCAGACCTTCCGGCATGGGTTAAACAACGAATTTGGGGGGGATTCTGCGACGTGAGCTTTGGGGGGGATGGGCACCCCTGGTATGTGCAGTTTGATTGTTTTATTTTATCTTTCAGATTACACTGACATTAAAAAACTTCTCAATGTGGCTGGATCAGTATGTCAAATCGCTCCTGAGCGAGGGTTCAGTCAATTGCTCCTTGCCAGAAGAATAACAATGCTGCTGTTTTGGTGGTTGAGAATGTTTTCTTGAGAAAACATTAACAGAAGTTTGAGAGGAAATATGCTGAAATATATCTTTAAGTTGTTAATAGGAGCTTGATTACCACTGCGTTTTAATCATCTCTACCTTTAAAAGTCTATTATTTTTTATATTTTTTGTAGGTTTTAAAAACTATTTTCTTTGTGTATAACTAAGACCGTAGTTTAATATTGTGTTTAACTCACTGTCAAGCCGCAAGATGGTTTCTTAGATAAAAGACACAGCCACAATGGTTTCTTAGATAAAAGGCACAGCCACAGGACAAGGTTTAAATGGATGTACGTCCTGTGGCTGTGTCTTTTATCTAACATGGGCTGAATCATTATTTTTGTCTTGCTGTAAATTGCATAATATCACATTTAAGTTGTATTAAAGTCTTAAAGGGATTTCTGTTCCTTGACAACATTATGTAATTTTCCCAAATTAGGTAAAAATTAGAAAGAAAAGCTATTTTTGTTTGCCAATTTGGAGCAAAATTACTGCTTTACAGTAGTATAACTTATATAATATCCATTTACAATGTACTGTATTTTTTTTTCAGTTAAAATTTAAATTTCCAATTACAGTGCATCTTGAATAATGCTGATACTACGTGTTAGAACCTAAAACCACGTTAAAACTAAGGCAGGCTAGGGTTATGGATTATCTTGTGGTTTGCATACAGTAGTTTAAGTTTGAGTGAATATTCTCTTTTATGTGATTTATGAATCCTATAATAGAAAATAGTTTCAGCATAATCAAATGAATGTTAACAAAAAGAGAGGAAATTTTACCTCAACATATTAGTTTGTGATTAAGTTTAAATCACCATTTAGTCTAGCGCCTAAAATGTATTGTTAGTTAAGTGACATAAGTTAGTATGTTAAGCTGTACTTTGTTTTGTTATTCAAAATTCTGAAATGTTTCCTAAACTATTTTCCATTTTTGTTTGTATCTCAGTAATAGAATCCTCAACTATGCATTATGCATAGTTGGAAAATAAACTTAGATTCTTACAGAATAATGTTACCCACAGATAAACTTTTCGGTCACAGATAACCTATCTTCAGTCAAACCATGGGCTGTCTCCTTGTACTAAGTTATTTATTAAAGCTATATAAAAATTTGTTTGTAAAAAAATATTTCTATTGCTTTATTTTTGTTTTATTTTCCCCATATTAACTGCAAAGTGTTCACATCAAAACTTTAAAAGGAATCTCCATTTCCAACGAAATTTATTGAGTGTCAGTAAAAAGTAATTCCAAAATGGCTTCTATAAGTAATTGTTCACTTTGCATTATATTGCAACACTGGAACAGGAACGAGTTGTGACGTCATTTTGACGTGCGAATAGCCACTTTGAATCTTAGGGCCGGTTGCTGAGCTCGGGATTTAGCTAAGTTCTAGACTTAAACCGGCATTAGACTCTGGAGTCTAAGAAATGGCTTGCTGAGATAGGGCGTTAGCGAAGTCCAGAACTTATTAGACTCCGGAGTTTATTTGGCTGGTTAGACTCTGGAGTTTTAAAATTGACTTGCTGAGTCAAGTACCTATAAGTCCAGAACTTAATTTAGATTCTCGTCTCTTGCTGAGACAAAGATCTAGCAAAATCCGTTAAGTCCAGAACTTAAAACAGTACGATTTTAGATCCTCGCCAAGGGCAGGATTTAAATTAGATTCTAGACTTTACAGAGTGTATTAACCTTGTTTGCGCGTTATATCATCATCATATTAGGCCGTACCCTATATATTAGGTATCCATATTATGTATCATCCTAGAAACTGGAATTGATAATTTAAGACATCCTATTTTTTGTTAATTGGCAAACATCCGCTAACAAAAATGAATATTTGTTTGCGCGTGATTTTTTACTACGAAACCGATGTGTGTAATTTACAAAAATGACAATGTTTAAATTTTTACATATCGCAATAAAACATTGTTTTAATAAAATCCTAGTAGTAAAATTTAGTAAATGTAATACCTGCTCTATCGTATAAGTAGTTTGAGACACCCAACATGCAGAGTCGAACGGGTTAGAGTTATGACTTGCTTTCTTATTGAATATCATACTCGATTGTGAACTAATGGTCTACGTTATCGTAGTACTCACTCATACTTAAATGCGACATGCACTTAAGTACTATATTAAACTTTTTCTACGACTGTACTAGTATTTTATCATGGGCTTATTAAAACATTACATATTATACTTTTAACTCAGTATATTCGACCAGTCCCATTTGTAACCATATTTATAATTTACAAAAATCAACTTGAAAAAGAGTACGTAATATAAATAGTAATTAAAATATTATTCATATAATTAATTTAAATACTGTATATACAAAAACACAAGAAGTATATACACAATACTTCACCTTATATTTACATTTTATTTTCTACACAAGCTCTATACCACACACATTTCACAAAGTCCAGAGCCCAATTATTTTGCCCTCTCCTAACTGTAAAAGTTTTTCTGTTAGCCACTTGGCCTTTAGATTACTTTTTTCACGTAGGTGTCATCTATTCATGAGTAAATACGTGTCTATTTGAACTGATTTCAAACATTTTACAAATTTGAAAATGTTTGGGCGAGGCGACGTACAAGCATACAATATTACTTTATTTTGTAATTTGTGTAGCTTGTAAGTTAGTATTTTCCTGTTATAAAATAAAATTTCTGTTTTACAAATAACAAGACTAATATTATTAGTTTGTATTCTGTTATGAAACAGGTCCCAGACCTGGTAGGTATTTTTAGTTTTGGTTTATATTTTGTGTTTGTTTAGGGATTTTTTTTGTTCATGCTGAATTTTACGTTGGAAAACTAACATGGGCCATTATTTAGGCTATTATTTCTTCCATTCATTCATTTGTATTTCCTGTACAAAAGCTATACTATTTCAGCTCTACAAGTTTTGACATTAGTTTCCAGTAAATTGTGTCTTTCGGTGAGTTTGCACCTACCCAGAAATTGTTAAATAAGAATAATCAACACGTTATAAAACTACTCTTTTCGATTTTGGTTATCTAATATACATAATTTATGTAAATAATAATTTATAAAAATAATAATTTATCTAATAACATAATTTATCTACATACATTAATTTATACTAGTGTACATGTTGCTCGAAATCGAGCAATCGCAAAGAAGTACAGGAGTTATTTATAAACATATAACTTGTTTAGAAACTAATAACAGTCATAATTTCCGATGATTTTAAAAGAGTCAACTAAATAGGTGGTTTTTAGTAGGTAGTCAACTAATGGAAATACTTACGATTTACATAACAATCCTATTCCAGTTTAAAGAGTTAATTTATAACAATCAACCTGCCCATGGACGGAAAAAGGCGTACAATTTAAGTCTACGTAAAAAGGCTGTCAACTTTTGTAAAGTACCGTACCTAAGTTATTTAGCCAATTTGTAGACAATAAGGTGTAGGCTACTTTAAACTCTACTCAAAAACTGGCAGAACTCTGAAATGGTGTTATTTATCATAGGCTTACTCATATGCCAAATCCTTAAAATAAAAATTCTATAATTAATAACTTATATCATTAAACACAAACCAACATCCAAAACTATACACATCTTTAATACAACATAGATAATCATTTACACATTGACTGTTTACAATTAACATGTGTTCTTCTTTTCACTTTTAATTTTGCTTCGCAACGGGACAAATCTGTTTCATAATCATTGAAATAGATTTATAATAAATAATCTATCATAAAGTTTAAGATTAAATAAACCTACCACATAGTTATTTTATTTTTCTGGATCAGCTGTCTGTAATTGTAAAATAGGCATTTGACAGTTGTTTACATTTAAATGTCAAAGCAATTGTAAACATTGTGAATTTTCTCATGCTTCCATGGAGACCAATTATTAATATTTAATTTCTGACAACAGCTGGAGTTTCAAAACAATGTTTGTTTCCCATGTTAATCTTATGGAGAAATACGAAACTTTAAAGGGCCCCAGGGCCTCACTCTCTAATTATTTACCTAAAAAGAAAGTTTCCTGCACAACTTCACGTTACGCTCTTTCCAATGACACCAAAAACATGTCAATCGGTTCAGTAGTTTCGGAGGAGTAATTGTCACAAAAATCCTGCTTGCGTATTAAATAAGTACTAGTGGTCGTCCTGTGGTCGAAACTCGACCAAAAATAATTAATGTACAGACTTCTCTATTTTCTCCCCACACTGTAAATAAAACATGTGATTGGAATTTCTTCCATTTGTTTTGATTTTCTGTTTACGTTTTGTTGTTATTTCGTCACCATCATGGCAACCCATATGGTCCATGTTAATTTTTTGAAGTTTTCAAATTAATCTTTTGTTCTTATTTGTTAGCCTATTTTAATTTTTAAAAGCATTCTGCACATCTACAGGAAAATATCTTTCCAACAGTATGCGTAGATTTTCCCTGCGATGCACACGAGCTGAGAAAAAAGGTTCTAAAGAAACATGCTTGCCTATTAATATATAGACGAGAGCACCGCCCCGTGGTCGAAAAATCGACCAAAAGTATTTTTTGTGCAAACTTTTCTCTATTTTCACCCCACACTGTAAATAAAACATGTGATTGGAATGTCTTCCATTTGTTTTGATTTTCTGTTTATATTTTGTTGTTATTTCGTCATCACCATAGCAACCCATAAGACCCATGTTAATTTTTTTAAATTTCAAATTCATTTGTTGTGCTTATTTTTGAGCCTATTTTAATTTATAAAGGGATTCTGCACACCTACAGGAAAATAGCTTTCTAACGGTATGCGTAGATTTTACCAACGATGCACACGAGCTGAGAAAAAAGGTTTTAAAGAAACATGCTTGCCTATTAATATATAGATAGATAGATAGATAGATAGATAGATTATGAATGAACATGAGCTTAGTACCTTTGTGGTACTCCAAATCGCACTGGATTTGCCGTGATTTTTTATTTAAACCCTGTTATAACGCTTTTCTCAGCCACTACCTCTAACTATAATATTTTCGATAGAAATATTACAACCCTATATTTAAAAAAAATAAGTTTACCACTGAATTTAATTGAAAAA